CGGAAATGTCATCTTTCATGAAACCATTTTCCCTTTCATTATCCCTCTTTTAGGACACACCCTCCACTCCTACCGATACACCTTTCTCTTCCACGCAACCTCGTCAACACTTTTCATCTTGATCCCCTTTGTGCCACTTATTTTTTCATTATTGATACATCCAATACTGATATTGTTGTACCTCATTCTTTCATTACTCGCTCACACACCTCCCGCTAATTCCGCTCTTTTACGAAAACCCATTAGAACTCGCACATCCTCTTTCTATCTCTAAGATTACCATTGTAACCTTGCAACATTGCAACATTGTTGCTTCAATCCAATTCATCCTCTACATTGGGTATGAAATTTGCACCTTCGAGTACATCTCCCTCTTCTTCTCCCCATTTTTAAATTCTGTTTTATCTTACTCTAATGTTCCTTTTAACCATCAAATTATTGTAATCAACATCAGTACTTATTCCATCCCTACTACATACAATCAAGCCATTAAGCATTCATGTTGGAGGGATGCCATGAGGCCGAGTTGATCGCTCTTCGAGATAATAAGACTTGGCGACTCACTAAATGACCTATTTCCGAACAATCCATTAGATGTAAATGGGTGTATAAGATCAAGTATAGAGTCGATGGATCCATTGAAAGAAATAAGACCGGACTTATGACCAAGGGCTACACTTAACAAAATGGAATCGATTACTTAGAAACTTTCTCTCTTGTTGCAAAAATAACTACCGTCAAACACTCCTTACCATAGTGCTACTAAGAACTAGTTTCTATAACAACTAGATGTTAATAATGCATTTCTTCATGGTGATCTGGTATGAAGAGGTGTATATGGACCTCCCTCCGTACTATTCTTCTCCTAAACCAAATCGGGTTTGCAGATTGTCGAAGTCTATCTATGGCCTCAAACAAGCTAATAGACAAGTGGTTTTCTAAACCTTTAGAGGCTCTCTTACGGTAAGGATTCATATGGGCATATTCCGATCATTCTCTCTTCATCAAATCCAATACATCCGGTTTCATTGCAGCATTAATCTACATCGATGACATGATCCTTACCGGTGACAATATGGTTTGCATTGATGAATTGAAATGTTTTCCGAATAATACATTCAAAATAAAAGACCTAAGCCATCTTTATTTTTTTCTTGGTCCGAAGGTTACAAGAACACAATCCGGGATATATTTATGTTAGCGTAAATATGCACTTGAATTACTCGATGATACAAGTATCCTTGTTTGCAAGCCTCGCCAAAACATCCATGCACCCTCGATCTCAATTGGCAAATGATGATGCTGCATCTCTCGAAGACATTACTTCTTATAAGAGGCTCATTGACGGACTTATTTATCTTAACCTCACCAAACTTGACTTGTCATTTACGGTGCAATAACTCTCTCAATTCCTAGATCATCCCACTTAATCTCATCTCCTCGTCGCTCATCGTATTCTTAGATACATTAAAGCCGCACTCGCCAAGGTTTGTTCTTCTCTTCTACTTTCACGAGTCATATTAAAGGGTTTTTCGGACTCGATTGGGTAGTATGTCCTACAACTAGAAATTCAATCGGTGGTTTCGTATATTTCTTGGTGATGCACTCATATCTTGGAAATCCAAGAAGTAAACCACAGTTTCTCACTCTTTCTCCGAAGCTAAATATTGAGCACTTGCCACGACCACATGTGAGATCCAATGGTTACTTTATTTATTGGCGATTTAAAGATTGATCACCCTCATTCAACTCTTCTCTTCTATGACAATCTCTCTGCCATACATATTGTTGAAAATCCAGTTTTTCACAAGCAAACAAAGCATATCGACATTGATTGTCATGTTGTTCATGAAAAATTACACACAGGAATCCTTAAGCTTTTGCTCGTTACCTCTACCAATCAACTTGCTGATCGCTTCACCAAGTCTCTTCATGCTCCCGTCTTTCATGCTATCATTTACAAGCTTTGCATCCATAATATGTATGTTGCAACTTAAGAGGAACTATTGGAAGATATTGTTGCACCCGCATTCTTGCTGCTGCACTCGTGAACCAACGAACATGCATGCTGAAGTTTTCCTCCACACTCGTAATCGCACATATGGAATTTGTTGAGCTCGCACCTCCATTCTTGATACCGCACTCGTGAAGCATGGCATCCTCTCTTTTTCTCGTTCCTTGGTTGTTTTTTGCACGATTGTAACTAATTACCAAATTAGCTTTCTTAATCACGGATTAGTTATAGATAGCTAGAATTAGTTATTGGTAATTCCTCTTTACAAACTTGTATATATATGTATTGAGTTCATATTAATAAAGTGTGGGAAATCTTTCCTTCCAACTCGTTGCTATTTTTTCCATTTCAACAAGGTGCACGAACTATCTCAAGCATCTTTAGGTTTTTGTTTTTTGGATTGTTACAATTCAAGTTCCATTTCATAACTTTGCCATTTTTCTACTTCGATGTGTTTATCTTTACCATTTAGATGATTGTTGTTGAAAAGTTTTCTTCTTCTCGCTCGCTCGATTCATGTAGGCTTCCTTCCACCACTCGTTCAATTTTAAGCCCCATGGTATGACCATTCTCAATGTTCATTCATTATTCCATTGAAGTTCCCGTTAATGATTGTTATTGATGTCTCTCTACTTTGGTCGAGCTAAAAGGAATGCCAATTGAGATGCTTGTTAACTAATCCCAAAGCATGCAAGAAAGCAACGTGCCTTCCTTGGGTTTTGATGCGATCCTTTGTTGTTTTTGGCTATCTCGCTCCTTGCGGAAAAATGTGCTCCACCGTAGAGAAGTAGCTAGTGGTCCGTTAAAAGTGAATCATATTCAAGCCGTGTTATTTGTTATGCATCCCCACTTCATTTATTCTTTATATATATATATATTTTAGGTCATATTCATCTTCTATCTTTGTGTAAAGAGCGAGATAAAGATGGTTTTGCTTAGTATCTTGTTAAGACCTCCATGGCATTACCGACCCTTAATTTAAGTGAAAGACAAATTGCAATTACATATTTAACAATTTATCGATTATGTAATTTTCTTGACTACAATTCGTTCCCTTATGATGAGGATTACATTGAAAGAAGATTTTTATTTCCCGGGTATTCTTTGTATTTTACATGAACCCTAAATTTTCTCGCTCGACCCATCATTCTTATATAGTTCGTGAATGTCAAATAGAACAATGGGGCTTTGTACAGTATTTGCTCTAAGAATTCAAAAGGAAGGTTGGTGGGTTAAGACTTAAGACTTAAAAATAGTAGTTGGCATTTTAGTTGAGAAAGTGAAAATCATATGATTATTGTATATGTGCGGTTGAAAATTAGACTTAGTCGGCATGTTAGGCCCTTATTATTCTAAGGGATTTATCTTTAACCTTTGGATGATTATGGTTGAAAAGTTTTCTTCTTCTGCCGCTTACCGATTCACGTAGGCTTCCAGGAAAGAATTTTAACTCGTCCTCTATGCAAGGTTGAAAAGAATTTCGGATGATGCAACCACCTTTGATCAAAAAATTATTTCAACCCTTTCCCGATTTGAGAAGTCGGTAGAAAAAGTTTGCTTCTCTTAAAAGCTTTCTTTGACGGTAGTATAATAGAAAAGGTTTGGGGAACGGAAACTAACTTGTTTCGAGAGGGACGAGGGCTCGCTCTTATCTTGTTTATTTATTAATCTTATTAATCAACACTCCTTGGACTTTCAATGAGAGAATAAATATACCCGAACAAAATGTAAGTCACGACTAGCGTCCGAGGATGTTCCTTATATTCTTCAATACTATTAAATTAACAACATAAAACCCAAGATAAATTCATTACACCCACGTTACAAAACAAGAAGGCAACGAGTGCTAGACAAGATGGAGGATTGGCAACAAACTTTATGTGCCAATAAATTTTCACCTAAAAGTTAGATTAATTATGGTTTTTTTTTTTCAAAGGAAAGGTTCCTTTTCAAACCTCGTGGATGAGGGAAGGATAGAATGTTAATTGAACTGTGGCTCATTGACATGTAAATTGATACACAACATCGCGAGAAAATCGCTTTGTTTTAATAATCAAATTTAGTCATCAAGAGAGGTGAAATTGTGACTATAGTATAACAACACAAATAAATAAACTCATCTACTGCGGGAGACCGAGGGGACGCTCAAACTTTTTTTTGTATCGAGGCGGTAATACTTATCAATAAATCGGAGGCATTTTCATACTATTAATAAATCGAGGCGGTAATCAAAACTTAATTTGCCAAGCAATAATTTCTACATCTTTTGGATTGAAAAAAAAAAATTTATCAAAATTAAATAAATAAAAACAAGAGAATTTAGAAAAGTACCTTAATTGATAATATATATATGCTAAAGAACTTTTCTAGTAATTGTGGTTTTGATTTATTGGAGTATCCGAACTTTAAAAAATTAGAACAAAGACAACAAAAGAGAGACATAGAACGTAAGTTAATTTTTTCTTTTATATTTCTAATTTTTTTAAATTATTATATTAAATATATATTACAATACTTAACTAAAAAGATGACATAGATGCCTACATAGCAAAACAATCCTATTTTTATAAATAAGATTTAAAATACCTTATTTTAAAAAAAATAGATTAAAAAGTATCATATTTTGGGAAAAAAACTAAAAATTCGGTCGTTTCTTCTGTCACAATTGGCCAGTCTCCTTTTGTTTGTTTTTCTTTAACAAGTGCTGCGACCCTGCTACTATATGTTTTATTAATTCACTGTCAAACAATGAAAAAAAAAACCCACCAAACAAATATTAGTTCACATAATTATTCGAAAACAGTTCATATAATATTACAGACAGCCTTAACTTCTGTGTCTGAAAGATTTACACCCTTAATTATGAATGGTGCAATAGTAAATTTGAAGTTGTTGAAAGAAATATGGATGACATGGTGCTATATCACGTTGTGGGGTTCCTTTTTACTTGAAAAATGGAATAAACGAACTACACAGGAGAAGAAACTTAGACCAAACCGAGAGAGCAAGTAAGATCGGCAGCTTTTGCAAAGTCATTCGCTTGTTGTGCCTTCAAGATATTAAGCATGATATTGAGACGAAGTTGCACGTTCTCGCTCGCGTGAGATATTTGTTCTGTCTCCTTTTTGAGTTGGTCACATTCTGAATCTATCGCTTCAAACCTTTCTCTCATTTCCTTTTGCCCTAGTTTGATATATTCTTGTTGCTCGCTTATCTCTGCCATCTCTACTTTCAGCTTGTTTATTTTTCTGTTGATTCTTCTATTCTGCAATCATATTCAATTGCACCACATAAGAAGATCACTGTTAGTTACAAAGAAGTTCAAAAGCAAAACCTTCATACCTCAAGATTTTCAGAATGCATCATGTTAAATGACTTTTGGTGGCGTTTGCTTGACGCCATTAATTAGTTGTCCTCCAGTGACTTTACTAATCTCGGCCCAAGATCTATAAATCATGCAACCAGAATCCTTTGATTAAATTCCCTCTATCAGAACTTGGGTGAAAGCATTCCCATCCCAAATACTTACATATATATAGACATATCTACGTACATAGAGAGTGAATGCATGATCCCGTCAGGCAAGTTCCTTTTATTTGTTGTCACGACGAGTGTGAGATTATGAAAGGTCCCATGCTGCAAAAGCATGTTCTGCAAGACTTCAGCAATTCGACCGATGATTTTTGGAGTCGCGCGACTTTGCACGATTCTTGCAATTTATTTGCTTTTAGGTATTCTTTTCTTTTGTTTCAGTTAAAGATTTCGCGGTTGGGCCCTCGGAGAAATTTTCCGCACTACATTGTTGAGTTACAGTAATTGTTAGTTCGAACTCAATTGACTTAGTGTTTTTTAATTTTTTTGAATTTGAACCTATCGATCCCTTATAATAAAGAAAAACTCAACTAATTAAATGCTTACGTAAGGAAAAATTATCTATGTCAACAATAGTGGTTACAAAAAATTTAATTAAACTACCACTTTTTTCTTCTTTGTTTATTCTCACAAATGAAACCATGCTCTTCTGCAATTAAATATATTTTTTTCAAATTATTGAATAATTGGATTTTCTAGCTCTACCATAATAGATTAGCATCCAAAGACTAGTATTGAAAAATAAGAACACGTTTTTTTTTTTATAATTATTTTAAGGACTTGAATCGTTAACTTTTACCTATATCAGTTGATGGAATATTCTGTACCAAACGTGTAACATCGACTGTTTGGTAATGGTACTGTCAGGTGAACTTGGAACACGTTTGGAATATTCTGTACCAAACGTGCAACATCAAATTCAGTTTTTTATGCAATAACTAAATATTTCTAGACATTTTTGTATCTTGTCCTTTATTTAGTTGGCAAAAAGCAAGTGAAAGTGCAGTCCGAATCATCTCAGGGCCAAATGCCAATGCTCTAACCAAGCCTTTATGCTGAGATCGTTTTGAGTTTCTAAGAGACAAGCTCAAACTCTTGAGCAAATCTCATTCGCTTGAAGGGGACCATTACAGAAATGATCGGTTAAAATACCTAATTTGGGACTATTGCCGAAATGATACATTAAAATACCTAATTTAAAATTTGTAATTGTATTTTTTATAGAATAAGATTTTGTACACTAAGCAATTGTTAGAGAATAATATAAAATTATTTTTTAATTTCATCTAACGAGTTTAATTTTTATGATTGAGATGATTTAGTTAAAAATTTGAATTTCCCAATCTTTTCTTTTCTTTTCTTTTCTTTTTTCTAAAACTTAAGTTATTAAGTGATGCTTTAATTAAACTTTTGGATTGACATAATTTGTTGATGGTAACTAGTTGGAATGACGAGTAACTAATGTTCGTTTACAAGAAGATAAGTCAAATGGTTGTCCTGTACATCAAAGAATCATCTCAATAAAAAAACTTAAATTATTAAATGAGATTTCAAATTTGATTTTGTATTACTATTTACACACTCTTTCAAACCAAAACCCTTTCGGTTTGAAATTTAAACATACTCACCACTACCTTGTACTTAATTATTTATTTTTTCAATGATGTCATGTATGTCAAAGAACGATTTCAATCCAAAAACTTAAGTTGTTAGGTGAGACCTCATGAATGATTTTATATTATTTTTTAATACACATTCTCTAGTGAAAGTCTTAAAAATGTGGAAATAACCACTTTGTGTTTAAAAAATAAAGAGAGGAAATAAATTTTCTTAACCTTCTTTCTTAGGCCTTGAGATTGTATTTCTTGATTTTATCTTAAAAATGATCAATATTTTGTATTAGTAATAAAAAAAATGTGGAAATAACCACTTCGTGTTTCTCACCATCAATGTTGGAAAGTCAATTATATTTTCTTATAAAAGTGAGAGTAAAATTAGCTATATATCTAATTAATGTGAATATTGAGTTTTTCTCATACATATATATTTGAAAAAAAATTTCATGATACATATGCCATATGCCATCCAAATAGGAGAACACTCTTGTACATGCAATTAATCAAACACACATGTACATAATTTTTTTTTAAAAAAATTAAAACTCGAGTTCCTACTTACCACCTAATAATATTTGAAAAAATAATTACCAATCAAAACAAAAAATCAAAATTCGTAAAATGTTAAATTATATTAAAGATAACCATGTAATAACCCAAAATTTACCCATTTTGTTTTATTTTATTTGTTTAATTTTATTCATGTCTATTTTTATTTATTATTTATTTATGTCTTGTTTTATTATTATTTTTTCACATTGGAGTTTATTAAAAAAAACCAAAAAATAAAAAAAATGATGAAAAACCCTAAAAACATTCATTCGGGGACACAATTGCATTTAAAGGAAGGTATAATTTAGGTAATTAGGGGTATAATCAAATCAATTGAAAAATTTAGAACCTAAATTGCACTTTACGAGGGCCCAATTGATAAGATTGGGTTTTATAAAGATTGAAATTATACTCGCCGAAGGCATGATTGTTGAAATTGAAATGCACAAGGATCAAATTGAAATTTTAGAGCGGACGACGGGACTAGAATGCGAGAGGACGACTCGTCGTCCACTCCAAATTCAAATCCTCTCCGAAAATCTTTGGAAGAATCGTCAAATCTTTCACCAAATTTTCTCGCTTTGATTTTGCATTAATCATGGATTCTTGGCTAAAATCAATACCAACATAAAATCAAGCAATAACCAAATTTTTTGTTTTGATTTTGCATTAATCATGAAATAAAGAGGAGATATTTTGATAGAAAATGTGGGATTGAGATTTGATTCTAGGAGACATTCGAGGAAGTTTTTTGCTATAAAGTCGATCCGATTTCACGGATAAAGGAGGAGGAATTCGGGTGGAAAGAGAGTGAAAACCAAAGGAAAAAAGATTTGATTTTTTAATCTTCTATAGCTGCGTTTTTACGGGTTTACGGGTTTGGGTTCTTAGTTTTCTTGGTGTTCTTGGGGTTTTGGGTTTTAGTTCATCGTATGTCAATCTCCTTCGAGTCCTTTGTTTGGTGTTTTTCGGGGTTGATTTTCCTTTCTCGAGCGTTTCTCAATCCTACTTCTTGAATTTGGGACCCCATTCTTCATAATTTTGGGTTTCCCCTTTTGATGTTACAGGCGACCACTTGAAGTTCTTCGTGCGCACGGGTTTGTGTTCCTCAACTTTCTAGGTTAGAGTTTCATTCGGCTTCAATTGCGATCAAATTCTTTGTTTTGAATCTCATTCGGGCATATTGAAACCAACATACATTTTTTGAACCTCTTGAAACCATTTTTAAGTTTCAATTTGCATCCTTTTAGAACAACAATCACAAATCTAAGCACGCGAGGTCCGTTCCTTTTTTTTTTTTTTTCTTTGTTTCATTTTTTTTATATGTGGATTCAATGATTCGCAATTCCAAATGTTTATTTAGTTACTTGTTTAAGTTTTAATTCTTGGTTTGTGATTGAGACAAGAGTGTAAATAACATATGTTAGCAATTATTTATCCGAAATGAGGTTTTAATTTTTGAGAAAAACTAGAAAATAGAGAGAAGAATTTAAGAACTCGAAGAACAAGAGAGAGAAAGGGTTGAAGTTTGGAAAATGTGGGTTTTGATCTGAAAAATGAAAAATAAAATAATGGAACTTGTTTTTAGGCTTAAGGTCCAGCCCGTTTTCTTAAAAAAAACGATGGGATCGGACTAACGTACTCCCTTGTTAAGTAATTAAATAAAAAAAAATGAGAAGGCTGAAATCATTCCAACCTTCTCCAAAAAAAAAAAAAAAATGAAACAAAAGAAAAAAAGGCTAGAAGTCCAACCTCTCTCCAAAAAAAAAAAAAAAAAACCGAGAAGATTGGAATTAGTCCAGTCTCTCCTAAAATATAACAAAAAAACGAATAACAAAAAAAAAATAGAGTAAGAAAAAAGAAACGAAGCTGAAAGGGGTAGGAAAGACATGAGGAATAGGTTAGTGGGCTTAGGGTACAAACTAATTTCTTTAACATTTTGATTTTTTTATATGGCCTAATTATTTTTTATTTCTCATTGTATTTTATTTATTTATTTATTTGTACTACTTTAAAGTTGGTATTTTAATTTTTTATGTGAATTTATTTTCATGTGTTGTTAGATTAGAAAAAAAATAATAAAAATCCTTGATGAAGTCTCCTATCCGATAGGGATCGACGTCATAAAAAAATATCTAAATTAATTCTCGATGAAGTCTCCTATCCGATAGGGGCTGATGTCACCAAAGAATATATAAAATAATTCTCGACGAAGTCTCTTACTCGGTAGGGACTAACGTTACCAAAAAATTATCTAAAATTTTCGACGAAGTCTCCTATCGATAGGGACCGACGTCACCAAAAATTATCATTTAATCGGAATGTCCTCCGACACATTGGTTGTGTCAAGGCTTATGATGGATTTGATGTTTGAATCGATGTGTCATCCGAGAAAAAGGACTAATGATCGTTTCAATACGATGCCATGCCCAAAAATTAAAATTTCAATTTGGCTTTAAAAAATAGGAGTTTAGAAATCACAAAATAATTTGATATTTTAAGAGATGAATTTGGAATTAAACCACATATGATACTTTTTTTTCGAAAAGGGAATTTTTGGGTGACTAAATATCTTCCCAAATGTGTAACCAACTCCTTGCCATGGAATCTTTGAACTAGTGCCTATTTTTTGGGTTCCTAGTTCCTTTAATACTAGGTGATGACTTCAAACTCTGTAAATAAACATTGTAAATAATAATTAACATGTAGATTTCGTTGGATAGTCTCGTCCGATGTCGGTTAGCGATAAACCAAAACACAATAGTAGAAATATTTCGGTGAGTAAACTATTTTCTTTTTATCTAAAATATTAAGTTAGATTAAAGAAAACTAAAACACAATAGTAGTACTATGTTACTTCTT